TAAACAATTTAACACTTTTGATTTCTTCACTATAGTAAGATGCATCAAGTTTGTGAAAGAAATAGGGGCTACAGGAGGGGGCAAAAAGGGGTAAAATTAGGTAAATCTTTACAAATCTTCTTCTTATGAACCAAGTATCAGATTTTCCTAAAATTCAAAATTAATGATTCTTAGAGCGCAGTCTACAAAGTTAGCGAAGTAAAAAAAAAAGGGGTCAAAATTCAAAGTTGACGGATTTCAACCAAAAGTAGTATATAGGGTCCCCTAGTGAAGAACATGTGACTTTGAGTTGCAAAAAAGTGTCTGAAGGGTTCTGGGGCCTCATGGGAGGGGGTGGCAAAAAGGGTTCAATTAGATTTTTTTTTTAAATGGGTTCTAATGGCATTGTCCATGTTTTTGGGTTACAACCACACTAAACACAAAGCATCTGTGTAATAAGACACATTTAGTTTGGGAGAAAAAAAGTAATGGCTGCAATAGGGTCCCCAGGTGGGGGTAAAAAAGGAGTAAAATCAGGTAAATTTAGCTTCTTTAAGTTTACAATAGAAAAAGGTGTTTTCAATGGGGGCATATTTAAGAGGCAGAATGGGTAAGAATTTGTTGAATCTTAGCAAATTTGTTGTCCTGAACCAAAAGTGTAACTTCATATAGATGATCTTTAGGGAAAGGACTGCAAAGTTTGTGAGAATAAAAATAACTAGTCCAAAATTAGCCCTTCTGATATTTCTGATATATTAATCTTTTTTTTTTTTTTATTTTGTTTTTCAAGATTTTACAAAGGTATGCAACACACGATATATACTAGACTCACATACACATACACACCCTGGCACACATCACACTACACCCATGTACACTCACTCAAAACATGCACTCATTATTTCCTACTCTTTCCTCTTTGCTGACATGACATACAATGTACTACTGTGTTTCATTCACAAGCCCCAATAATAATACAAACTCAATGACTGCTGTCATCATCATCATCATCATCATCATCATCATCATCATCATCATCATCGTCATCATCATCATCATCGTCATCATCATCATCATCACATAGTTATCATCATGATCATCGTATCATCATCACTTCATTATCATCATCATTATCATCACTATCATATCATCATCAGCAGTAACACATATTCAGCATTGTAATCATCATATCATCATCACCACTTCATCATCAACCTTTCATCCTCATTATCACATCATACACTGATCAACAACAGAGCTGTTTATTATCTTTAGTGTTTTGCCTCATCATCATCTATTCACACCTAATTCCCAAATTTTATTTATATATATATTAATCTTTAATAAAGGCATGTTGTGTGTTTATGACAACCATATAGGCGAGAAAAAATGCGTAGCCAGATCTTTCTTCAAACCCTGATCTTATTACTCGCTGAACCTTCTATGTTCTGAGCTACATGTATAATATGGTTCAATACCTGTGGTAACACCACATTTCTCAGCCTTGATACATATATATTCCCGTCTCAGAAGTACCACAAGATGTTTTCACATTGTTTTATGTGAGTTTTTTTAGTTGGATATCTTATTGTATTAGGCAAGGAAAAGATTGTGGATAGACTTGAAATTGATCTGATTTTTTGTATACTTTAGCTATACATGTATCTACTAAGCTATATTTTAACTTGTAAATGAAAACATGATTTGCTTTATATAAATGTGCAACCCTGGCCTCTGTTTGGCTGAGACATTTTGGACTTCCTCTCTAGAACCACTGGGTGGATCATGTTCAAACTTGGTACAGATGTTTTAAACACGGTCCTGCACAAGTGTTGTTACATTTTCGCAACATTTTAAAATCCCCAGATTATTGACATATATTCCTCAGATGGCCGTTAAGGCCCCTTGGGCCTCTTGTTCTAATACCATTCATCTAGCAGCATGCGATGTGCCTTGTGCATCCGTAAACAATTTAACACTTTTGATTTCTTCTCAAAAACCCCTGATCCAATTTCAATGAGATTTTGCAGAAACCTTCACTGGCCTAAAATGAACCGCAATGGTGAATTATACAGTCCTCATCTCCCAGGGGCTTGAGGGGGGGGGGGGGGGGTCAAATTGGCTCAGATATAAAAAATCATCTTCTCAAGACTCCGATATGGTAGAATGAAATACTCTTCATGAATGGAAACATCTTAAAGTTCTTTATCAAAATTGTGAATTTCATGGCCCCAGGATCCACATATCCCCTTAGGGAGGGACTGAAGTTTACAATACTTAATATAGGAAAACTAGATTTTTGAGCATGACTTGTTTAATTTCCATTGGAAATACTTCAGACTTGCTTAGAATTATGAATGAAAAATGACGGTGTGATGGTATGCCCATTTGGATCCTGGCTGACCCCCAGGGGCCTGAGGGGAGGGGTCAAAAGGAGTAAAATTGACTCAGATTTCAAAAATCTTCTTCTGAAGACCCAGATATGGTAGAATCAAATACTCTTCATGAATGGAAATATCTTCAGGTGCTTTACCAAAATTGTGAATTCCATGGATTCAGGGTATCCACATATCCCCATGTGGAGAAGTAAACTTTTCTGTAGTTTCTATTTCCATTGGAAGTATTTCAAATGTTGGTAGAATTTTGAGTGAAAGGTGACTGCTTGATGGTATATCCATTTTTAATCCTGACTGTCCCTCGGGGACTGATGGATGGGGCCTAAAAGGAGTCAAATTGACTTACATTTAAAAAGTCTTCTTCTAAACACCCAGATATGGTGGAATCAAATGTTCTTCAGGAATGGAAGCATCTTAAGGTGCTTTAATTACCAAAATCATCGGTATATGTTGACAGTTTTGATGGAATGCATGTATTGACACTGTCTATATTCAGTGTCACAATTTCTGTTTCATGACACTTGATAACTATCCTTTCACCTCTATATTCAATATACTTATTTCAGGTGACTGCAAGGCCACAAGGCCTCTTGTTATTTCACGTCAGAATGAGATACAATAGAACCAAACAATAAATTGAACGGCATCATACAGCTGTTTTGTCCATGTAGGACTTGTCATTGATGTCAGGATCATAACCAGTAGGCCACCTCAAGGAATAATCCAAATGGATTGCATTCTTAATGGCATAAATAAATAGATATGAACAGATAAGATTTTTGAAGCATGACAGACACATGAGTGTATACATTTAACGTATATTTTATTTTTTTACGTTTCAGATTCATCCTGTTTGCAGCTGTAATCAGGTCTGGTTTTGGTATGTATAACTAACATCGTCCGGCAATATTATTATAACCATTGTAACTAAATTGTATATAAAAAAAACACATTTTCATTTGCTGGTCCTTTTTGTTTTCGCCTAAAAACATAAAAAAAAATGTTGTCATCTTTTAAAGTCGCTGAAGAAATGTTGAAAAACATGGCAATCTGTGATTGAATTATATGGATTAACTTTCAGTAATTTTCATTTATTGATCTAAATCTAAAAAACAATAATAAGAAGTAGAGTTTACTAGTGGCATTTGCTACTAGAAATGCCACTAGTTTTTAGTATACTCTATTTTTGTGTTATGACTCAATATCTAAAAATGTTAAAAGGAAATCCTAGTATGAAATTTGTCACAAAATTGGTGAGGTTGTTTTGTACAAGAAGAAAGCCATTATGTGCTTTACATGTTATCAAATCTTAATTTGTTTGGGAATATGTTCTCTATGCTGCTATATGCTTATCTGAACATCATGCTTGATTTCATTCGAATAGTGGCAAAGTTCAAAATACGCACCTATACAATGTACTTTACTTTGTTCTAAAGTTGTCAGATAGATGGAAATTTCAGAATTAATTGAATTATGGGGCTAGTGTGTCTCTCCTATTTTTATTTCTTTCAATTACATTTGAGTTTCCTCAGTCAGTCTTTAGGCCCCTAGCGTCACTGACGAGTCCTAGAAGGATGAAACAGTTGTATGATGTACAATCACTGACGAGTCCTAGAAGGATGAAACAGCTGTGTGATGTAGCATCACTGACGAGTCCTAGAAGGATGAAACAGCTGTGTGATGTAGCATCACTGATGAGTCCTAGAAGGATGAAACAGTTGTATGATGTACAATCACTGACGAGTCCTAGAAGGATGAAACAGTTGTATGATGTACAATCACTGACGAGTCCTAGAAGGATGAAACAGTTGTGTGATGTAGCATCACTGACGAGTCCTAGAAGGATGAAACAGTTGTATGATGTACAATCACTGACGAGTCCTAGAAGGATGAAACAGTTGTATGATGTACAATCACTGACGAGTCCTAGAAGGATGAAACAGTTGTATGATGTACAATCACTGACGAGTCCTAGAAGGATGAAACAGTTGTGTGATGTAGCATCACTGACGAGTCCTAGAAGGATGAAACAGTTGTGTGATGTACAATCACTGACGAGTCCTAGAAGGATGAAACAGTTGTATGATGTACAATCACTGACGAGTCCTAGAAGGATGAAACAGTTGTGTGATGTAGCATCACTGACGAGTCCTAGAAGGATGAAACAGTTGTATGATGTACAATCACTGACGAGTCCTAGAAGGATGAAACAGTTGTGTGATGTACAATCACTGACGAGTCCTAGAAGGATGAAACAGTTGTGTGATGTAGCATCACTGACGAGTCCTAGAAGGATGAAACAGCTCTATGATGCAGTTTTATTCCTTCTTTGGCTCTACAGTATCAGACTCGAAATTTATACCAAGAGAAAGATAAGTGTGCTTTAGATCTCCTGAGGTGTAGTTATCATATACACATATTAATACTAAAATATTTCAGTTACTGGACTACTTTCAGCAAGGAAACAGGCACAAGAGCCCACTAAGGAGTTGTTGATACCAAATGCCAGTGATGTAGAAAAGGCACCTTCTGATGTAGAAAAGGCAATGAAAACTGGTAACAGTCAATTCACCTGTGGTAAGTGTCCTTTTATAAAATTCCGTTGGTTTTATGTGATAGATATCTTAATTTTACGCGTAATATTTAGAACTCAGCTTCTTTGGGGTGGAGTAGGGGGAGTGGGGGATTTCCCCACCATACCTGTTCTTCTTGGTTGTTTTACAATGTACAACATAAATGAACTGATAAATTACAAAGGCTGTTTAGTGACTTATACAAAGCCTGTTTCTATTTCTTTATAATTTATTTTCATTAGTAACAAGCAGCTTCATTGGTTGTATTTTTATGTTATCGGCTCACAACATCAAAAAAGGAACTACGCTCAGTTAAACCGGAAGTCTGTAATGTACACTGACCAAAGGGAGATAAGAAGAGTAGCCCTTAATACCTTCTTACTCTTTACTAAATTATTTTTTTCTATCATTTAAAATCAACTTATAAGGGTAAACAGATTTTTTGTGACGTTATTGAGTCATTACTGAGTACACTCCAGATTTTTGTGTTATGGCTCAAGAACGTGAAAATGTTACAGTTAACCTTTACATAATGGAACAAGTAGTTAGATATTCTGCTTCTGCTGTCTAAAAAGGTTCTTTGAGTAAATGGTCTGTTTTGTTCATTTTTGTGTTCATCTCGTCAAATTTATTTTGAATTAGTATTTTGTAAATATCTTGGTATTTCCTATTGTTATTGTATATCGCTATTCATTTTCGGCATAAATGCCATATCATGTCAGAGGATAGTATGTACTGAGGAACCTTCGCAAACACGTGAAGTGAATATTTATTTTATGCAATATTTATGATATGGATGAGAACAAATGTTGTATCATAATTGATACATTTTTGCAAGGGCCAATGCTTATTTTGTTTGATAATTTAAAAACTTATAAGTGTACACTAATGATAAAACAAATATTTGGACATGGAAAAGCTCTAGAGATCATAACAGAATTGTAATATGCCAATTATGTCATATTTTATCAGTTCGAACTGAAGGTGAAAACCCAGAAACGGACAACAATGAGGAAGGTAAAAATCATTTCTATCTTTTAATGCATAAATGTTAATACATAATTATCTGTGTACAAACATTCACCTGATTATTCAGAAAAAATCAATTTCTATCTTATAATGCATAAATGTTAATACATAATTATCTGTGTACAAACATTCACCTGATTGTTCAGAAAAAAACCAATTTCTATAAAATGTTCTCTATTGTTTTACATGGAAATGTGACATGTTGTACAAAATTCATATTTTCTATCCATTTCAAGCTTTTGTTTTACGTTTTACTTCGTTTCTCATCAGATATATATCAAGCATACAGTTTTCATTGCAATGATATATAATTATATAAATTTGTTTCATTTTTTTTTGTTTTAATTTCAGTTCGATTCTTTTCACACTTTTGTTCAAACGTCTAAAGCTTTTAAATTGTAACATGAAAAGATAATATGCGTAAATGACAAAATCAGATGCTGGAGGAAAAGGATGCTTTGTTTATATGTCAGGATTATTTTTCTTTGTTTTTCAGTCATCTGACCTATAGTTGTTTTGTGTAAACATTTTAAAAACCCTACTTCTCTTTAAAACTTTAATTCAGCATTTTGATTTGACCCCTAGGGGTCAAGGGACGGGGCCCCAAAAGGGGGCCCTTGGTGGATTTCATCAAACTTTGGCCTGATTCATCAGTTAGGTGGGCAATTATTTTTTCGGTTTAGAAATTTGATTTGACCTCTATGGACTTAGGGACTGGGCCCCAAAAGGGCAAATGAGACAATATTTTGCTTCAAAACGCTTCTCTTCCTTAATGCATTGATGATTTCGACCAAACTTGATCTGAAATATCATTTGGAGTAGGAAATCATTTCTTAAATTCAGAAATGTGATCTGACTCATAGGGACCTGGCAGTGGGCAGAGTCCCAAATAGGAAAGTGGAGAGTGGGGAATAATTTCTTAAATTCAGAAAGTTGATTGACCCCTAGTTAATTGGAATGACCTTGATGCGATTGAAAGGTCACAGGGATTAAATGTGTTAATATCTTTGAATGACTTCTTCTCAATAACCAAAAGGCCAAGTATGATGATATGAGGCATGTAAGCATGCTAGGATGTAGGCTACCAACTTTCTTAATATGAATGACTTCTCAATAATCCAAAGGCCCAAAGTGCTGATATTGGACCAACTTTCAAGGTCAAAAGGGTCAAACATGTCGAAAAGTAACATATGAAGTAATTGCAATTATGTAGTGCAGATGTAAAGCATATGATTTCAAGTTCACAGAAAATGTCTTGATGAGCCAACAATGTCTTCTGTGTAAACTGTAGTTTAGTTGAGAAATTTATCTTTAGGTCTGTTTTGTCTCTTTTCATATACAAGTCTTTGTAGTCAGACCGTTTAGGACCATGGGCTTCTTGTATAATACAGGTACACATTTTTCAGGGAGAATGTTAGCAGTACGTCACGAAACCGCTCAGAAAGAATGTTGGGAACCATCCAGTTCAGTGTCCGAGGACTCGCATTTGAACTATTTCTCTATAGACAAATAGTGGAAGTTTATCTTAAATCCTTATTGTTAGTCCACCATCTATTCAAATAGATGGTGGGTTATTCAAATCGCCCTGCGTCCGTGGTCCGTAGTCCGTCCGTCTGTCCGTCCGTCCGTAAACAATTCTTGTTACCGCTATTTCTGGAAAAGTACTGGATGGATCTTTCTCAAATTTCATATGCATGTTCCCCTTGGTCCCTAGTTGTGCATTGTACCTTTTTTGAACTGATTTGCATTCAAGATGGCCGACAGGTGGCCATCTTGGATTTTGGAAGTAAAAGTTTGTTATCGCTATTTCTGGAAAAGTACTGGATGGATCTTTCTCAAATTTCATATGCAGTTTCCCCTTAGTCCCTAGTTGTGCATTGTACCTTTTTTGGACTGCATTGTACCCATATTGGATTTTGAATGTAAAAGTTTGTTACTGCTATTTCTTGGAAAGTACTTGATGGATCTTTCTCAAATTTCATATGCAGATTCCCCTTGGTCCCTAGTTGTGCATTGTACCTTTTTTGGATTTTGATGATTTTGATTTTGGATGTAAAAGTTTGATACCGCTATTTCTTGGAAAGTACAGAATGGATCTTTCTCAAATTTCATATGCAGGTTCCCCTTGGTCTCTAGTTGTGCATTGTACCTTTTTTGGACTGATTCGAATTCAAGATGGCCGACAGGTGGCCATCTTGGATTTTGGATGTAAAAGTTTGATACCGCTATTTCTTGGAAAGTACTGGATGGATCTTTCTCAAATTTCATATGCAGGTTCCCCTTGGTCCCTAGTTGTGCATTGTACCTTTTTTGGACTGATTCGAATTCAAGATGGCCGACAGGTGGCCATCTTGGATTTTGGATGTAAAAGTTTGATACCGCTATTTCTTGGAAAGTACAGAATGGATCTTTCTCAAATTTCATATGCAGGTTCCCCTTGGTCTCTAGTTGTGCATTGTACCTTTTTTGGACTGATTCGAATTCAAGATGGCCGACAGGTGGCCATCTTGGATTTTGGATGTAAAAGTTTGTTACCGCTATTTCTTGGAAAGTACAGGATGGATCTTTCTCAAATTTCATATGCATTTCCCCCTTAGTCCCTAGTTGTGCATTGTACCTTTATTGGACAGATTCGTATTCAAGATGGCGGACAGGTGGCCATTTTGGATTTTGAATGTAAAAGTTTGATACCGCTATTTCTTGGAAAGTACTGGATGGATCTTTCTCAAATTTCATATGCAGGTTTCCCTTGGTCCCTAGTTGTGCATTGTATCTGTTTTGGACTGATTTGAATTCAAGATGGCGGACAGGTGGCCATCTTGGATTTTGGATGTAAAAGTTTGTTACCGCTATTTCTTGGAAAGTACTGGATGGATCTTTCTCAAATTTCATATGCAGGTTCCCCTTGGTCCCTAGTTGTGCATTGTACCTTTATTGGACAGATTCGTATTCAAGATGGCCGACAGGTAGCCATCTTGGATTTTGAGAGTAAAATCTTGTTACTGCTATATCTGAGGAAGTACTGGATGGATCCTTCTGATATTTCAAATGATATTTGCTAATAGGTGCTTAATAAAAAATATCTTGTGCCATCATTGAGTACATTCAATGAAGACCAGTTCATGAACATTACAACACCTGTAACACACAAAAAAAATAAACAAATCTTCAAGAACTGAAAACAGATCCTCAAATGGTGGGCGCCAAGATCCCTCTGGGATCTCTTGTTATAAAGTTATAATCAATATTGTAGTGTGTTTTATGAAGGAATTACCCAAAACCAAACTCTGCAGTTTTGAGAACATTGAATCACCATAAACAGATTTTGTAGATCATAAAGTTGTCCTTGCCCGTCAACGGCTGGGCCATACATACCTTACACATTCGTATATGTTGAAAGGCGAAGGTAACTCTCGGTGCATAGGATGTGATGAGCCATTCACCCATAAACATTTTGATTGGACTGCATTGACCTCCTGTCTACTCAAGAATGTATGCTTTTTGAAAGTGTTGAGATTAATGAAATTCGAGGTTATCCCGAGAGATGTTGGTCGGTATAATGGACCAGGTTTTACCATTTGAATCTTTAGTGATAATATAATCAATTGAGATTTTTAGCATTTATCTTTACCATTTAAGTTTGTTTGATGTTATTTCATTTTTGTAATGTTGTGGCTTTCACCAGTTGATGGCCCTAATGACGTTTTATGTGTTGATATGCCGTTAAGGCTGTGATTATAATATTAATAATAACTAGAAATTGTTGCTAACAATTTTGCGGGCTTTTCACTTCTTTGGTGACAATCTACCGAAAAACAAAACATTAAATTCATCGGAAGGATATTCTGCATCGATTTGAAGAAGAAAATTTCAAGAAAGTTCAAAATTGAAAAAAAGAAAAAAAATTGTTAAATTTTGAAAACTTCACCCAACAGCGAGCTTTTTTATTCGACATATTTTCTGATAACATGTCATGACAAAAATTTAGATAAGGACATTCTCTACAAATAATGTTATTGCACAAGCTCTACAATCTATGGTTTTCGAGATATTGCCGTTTTTAAGTTTTTAACTTATGACGTCATGGCGGCCATATTGGATTTTTGACCTACTTTAAAAATCGGCATCGACAAATTCATATACGTATCTACAAATAGGTGAATAGACTGTATGTCTAGCTTTTACAATTTAAAAGATTCTGAACAAATCAATTTAGTTTTTGACGTTAGTGCAACATTTATTTTTAAGCATTGTTATCATATTCCCTCACAAAACTCATGATTTCATGTGCAAAAGTGTGCAAGAAACGGCTGATTAAAAAATACCTGCTTCCTCCGCTATTTGGGTCAAATTTCCAAAATGATCTATTTTTTAAATTGTCGAACAGTTTCAAATATGGGTGTAAAATGTTTCCGATATAAGATAAAATTACATTTGGTGCAAGTATTCAATTAATCTCATAAAACGTTTCGAAATTAATTCTATTAATGCAAGTTATCTCCCTTCCCACACTAAAACGTACTGACAAAGAAGGAAAAGACCTATGAGGGAATATGAAAGCAACATATTTATGCATATGTATATTACTTTCATTGTTAAGACTTGAATAACAATTATTTATAAGCATCTGCTTGTGCATATTAATGATATTACCGTTTGTTATATAAAACCAGTGTAGTATTTGTAAATTATTAACTTGTAGTGTAGTTAGTATTAGTGAAGTATCATCTTGTGATGTAGATTGTATTTGAAATCATGACGTGTATATCTTATCATGAGTTATTACTGTTCAAATCAGAAGATGTTCCTGTCACGTGACAATAAACCTAGCGTTCATGCAAACATTATACACAATAGACATATTTTCTATATATGCACGTGAGAACAATCAATCACACATGTGTATGTGTGAGCGCACGATAATTATTACACGTGTATTTAAGAGAAAATATTATCTATCTCACGTGTGCTCGCTATCAAAGATAATACGCGTATTATCAAATCTGTTGTTTCAGAAAGTTACAGAAGTTACATGTTATATTTAGTAAGTTGTATTGTAAACCACATCATAATTGTTACATTTTCCTATCAATACAACACAAATGCACTTTGAATTGCATTGTTATCAAGTCCAACATGTCGATACATACACCACATGAGCCTGTGTGTCTGGGGTATGAGGGCTTGTAATGTATACTATAGTAAATGGGACCATCGACATACAAAGAGTAGTTCAGCAGAAAAGTCGTCGATACTCGGTCAGATAATCTTCATTTCTTTACATCTTCAGTATTGACGGCGTTTTCACTAAACCAGACTTATTTGGCCTGGATTTCAGCGGGCAGACTGAGATACGTCAGAGAATTCAGCGGTCCTGTTTAATTCTCAAGAAGCGAAATGCGTGTAAATTTAGTTTGTTGTATTGAAAGACGTGTTTCCTTGTGTGTAATTTATTTATGACAATATGTTTTAAAAAAAATGTAAATATTGAATTGTATTCGACCAAATACCAGCGTGATTTTTGAGGGTTGGGAATTTCTGTCTAGGATTTCCTGGTCCATTTTCTACTGATTATAGTATACCATGTTAAACCTCATCCCCCAGTACACGCCCCCATTCAAATTATGGGGTATCAGAGGATCAGTATTTTACCATTTTAATCAAATGATCATTTGTCTTGTATATTATATATGTAAATGCATATGTTAACGATATATATATTTATATATAGTAAGTCATTGTCAGTTTTTTCCGTCATTGTTTTAAAAAAACAACTTTTTGTAGTGATTGCCTCCCCTCCTGTAATCGAAACATGTTTTCCGTAGTTTAACTGCAAAGCATACATGAACAAGCATTTAAACATTTATTTACAAATACATTCAGACCTGGTTATCTCGAATTTTTTTCGAAGACCCTGTGTAATTCGAAGTATTTCGACGGTTCTGGCCAAACTTAACACTCAACATTCTGTATTATTTGAATAGAAAAATCGGATAACTAGAAGTTTTCCCATAGGGTCGCCGGCTTCGAGAAAACGAGGTTCGATTGTATGCAATGTTTTCTACAATGTTCATAATTAAATATTGATATTCACAACACCACCAGTAATTGCTGCCAGTTATTTTGGTTAAAAATGTGTCCCTGTATTAGCATTGTTTCGTTTTCTTTCTTTCTTAATTAGTTTTTTTATATTTCTTATAAGAACAAAACAGTAAACTAGGCATAGGTGTCATTTATCTGATTTTAAAGTTGTTTGTACATAGCATTTCATTATCCTTTTATAGATTCTTAAATTCAAGTCACAAGGTTAACTTTTTGAGATCAGGCCTGGTAACGTTTCTCCCGTTCTCAGTATCACTTACTCTTGACAGGGTAATGGAAATTTGCATGGACCATCCATTGACCAATACAATTCAGAGTTACATTTATGAATAGTGCTTCTACCAGAGGGTAAAACTTCAAAATGCGGTACCTAGAATTAACCAATAGGATACCTTTTAAGGTTTGTAATATCTAAAATTAAATGCTACAAAAATCAATGATAATTTTTTTTCATTTTGATATGGGTATGTTTAACTTTTGATGACACAAAAACAATTAACTAATAGGAATGCTTGTTCCTGCGAATAGCGGGATTAAGTCACAATGACGCAGAGTGCATATTAAGACTATATGATCTTCCAGAGTTGCTGCCCTTGTTTTTACTTCGTCGATGGTAGGATATGCATGCATATTATTAAATGTATATGTACATATTTCTTGAAATATTTATATACCTATTTTATGTAAGGTATATTTGTATGTATACATATATAATGTGATCGAGATCTAGTGTGAATTATATTCATATTTTAACTCTTTGTATTCTGG